ATATTACATATTTCTTATTTATTATATATATTTTTTATATAAAAGCCACTTAAAATAATTCAACATCAACGGAGCAGCAATTGTATTGAAATAAAACTCTTTTGACAAATTATTGAGTACCATCCATGTTCACAGTTGATTAGCACTGTATTATCTAGTGCAGGTGTTTGTTACACCTGTGTGCAAAAATTCCCAGGGCTGATACTGTCACCGTCATGGTGGCCTAGTGTTAATATTCTGAAAAATAATATTAGATAATGTTAGGCATATGGGGAATTGTGTCATCTTCAAACCAGTGGAATTGCTTTCTTTCTACAGTATCTCAGTTAGTTGTGTTTCTTTGTTTTCAATGCATGAAGGGTAACCAGTGCTGCAGCTTGTACCCTTAATCTCCAACAGACTTTTCATCAGCTTTGGTGCTGGGCAAACCTAATGACCAGTCATCACTAAAATTTGTGAGATGAAAATAAGAAAGCTGTCATATGGGCTAATTTTGTGGGTTAATGATAGGTACAGTTGCTAAGAGATTCTTTCACTGACTAGGACAAGTGCATTCAGGTATTTGGCTATTAAAAATATCTCAAATTATTTACATATTATATTACTGAATTTCATCAAGTAGCTGCAGGAATAATGTAACCCACAAAGAAAGGAATGTTCAAATACCTTAAATAATATTATTTTTTACAGAAGACTTTTCCTTAAGTAATTAATTCTGACTGATCTCTTGAAAGGTATCTGAATATGTAAGATTACTTCCAGTTTACAGAGCAAGAGGCAGGGATCACAGATTCCTAGCTTCAAAGAAGTAACTGGCAAGAGCTTTCTGAGCCTAGAAAGCAAGCCGATGATAGTTTTCTTTCATTTATGCCTCTTTTCTAACCACTGCACAGCAGTTCTCTCTTCCAGTTCATTTCAGTTTCAAACAAAACTACTAACATACTGATGAGGCTTTAATGAAGCACTTTTGTAGTTTACTTTCTGCATTTTAAAAGTGTCTGGCATTTTTGTATGTCATATCATAATATTAAATCAGTAGGACTTTACAGATGATACTTGATAATAGGATCTTACCTCACAGAGCTTAGAATTTTTATTAGTGTTTATAGTATTGGTTTGAGGTATTTCACATAACGTTTCCCTGGGCAACTGTTAGGAGAGATTTAAATGTTTAACATATGTGTCTGTGTGTACTAATATAACACATGATTTTACCATTACTATCTGTATGTCCTTTTTTTTTGTTTATAATTTCCTTGTTTTTACAAAATAATGTTCCTTTTGGAGTAGATCCTTGTGGCTGATAGGCTTTGCCTATGAAGTCCTCCAGAGCAGGAGTCCTAGCTGGATGTGTGGCAAGGTCTAATAAACCTTTAACCTTTTTTTTTTTGTGAAGGGGGAGGGGGGAGTAGGGAACAGGGGGAAGGCTCACTGTGAACTCCTGCAGGGATGTTTTATCTGAGAAAAATGGCTTTTCAAATCTGGCCACTTTACAGACATGGAAACAAACACCTCTCCTGGAAGTTTGTGTCTAACAGGGGCTTCTGCAGATGTGAAGCTGTTGGGAGGGTTTAGTTTATGTTTCGAACAGAGACAAACAGAAGAAGGCAAAGGGGTTCAAACATAACTGCTCTCTGCTGGGACTGTCATGATGTTCTTTTCTTCGATATTATTTTATCTTTTTTTAAACTGCTGTCTTGTATATTATTCTTTCCACGAAATAAGGATCCCTAAATACACGGTCTTTTTTTTTTTTTTTTTTTTTTTTTCCACTGTCCTGTTTCCTATTTTAAAATCATTTAACCTTCTCAGTCCACTCAGTGGATACGTTATGCACAATAACACATGGTGGTCACCTCTTGGTAATGTCTGTTATGTAAAGAAGAGATTTCAATCCATGTTTTAGGGTCACACATGGACACTGTTCACCTTTCACTCACAGTAACATGCTGCTCTCAGAAGGTGACAAATGTACCTAGGAACTTTTTTCCTTTATTAACCTGTGGTAACCAGAGAACAAGCTCCCGAATTAGCTTATCAACACTGACTACATGCTGATTCATAAACGACTGTGGGAGAATACCTTTTAAGAACTTCGAAAACTTCAGCTTTGATTGACTCTAAAAGACATATTTGGCACCTAAAAATAAAGAGAAGACCTTTCATATTCATCATTTATTGAACAGATGCCATTTTGAAAAGCTATTTAGTGTGTTAGATATCCAGAACTCACTATGTGCTTTACCTCATTATACCTCATGATCCCCGTTTAAATAATGGAGAAACTGAGGTTGGCAAAAGACATAATTCACTGGGATCCTTTGAGTAGAACCGGAGTCTGCCTGTTTTACGACCAGCTGGCTGACTTTATGTGTTGATTTCTATAAGAAGTATGGATGTGCAGACTGACCTATGTGTGGTCAATCTATGGCAGTCATTTGTCCGAGGTAGCCTTCACTGTGTATTTCAGGGGCAGCCTTTCTTCATCAAGGTGATCCATACTGATTTGCTTCTTGCTCATGTGCAATATAGTTGACTTGAGATGAGAAGTTCTGGTTTTATTATTTCTTTTTAATTCTGTTTTTTACTTTTCTAACCAACATGAAAAATGTTCAACAATTCAGGACTATGCCCAGGAGAATCCTGTTCCCAGTCATGACGTTTCTTCTTTGTCCACATGAAAAATGTTCAACAATTCAGGACTACGCCCAGGAGAATCCTGTTCCCAGTCATGATGTTTCTTCTTTGTCGAATGTTGTCTTTCTGAAATAAATGAAGGCCTTTTGCAAAAGCAAAACTTAAACAACCTGTTTGAGTTATGAATACTAATAACTGGTGTTGAGACATTTACTGGCAGGCAAATAAAGCAAAGAACTGAGTCTCTCTATCAAATTTAGTATTTTGGAATTTGCATGACCAGATCATAGTAAAACATAAGAGCCTCTTCATTTGTGGCAAATTTGTACAGTCTTGATAAATACAGAGGTAAATTAAGATATTGGCCATGAAGAGAATTGCTTGTGTATAAAGAGCTAGCTATGGGGTAGCTGAAGTATAAGGTAGAGAAAGGGGCTCTGATTTTTTCAAATGTCTGCATTCCAGTGTCTCCTTCTTCTTTTACTTTCTTTCATGTATTTGTTTTTTAACAACTTGATTGACTTCCTGCCTGGCATAACAGACTTTTCAAGCAATAGTTTTCATCTGAAAAGCTCACCTTAAGACATAGTAATTTCAAGCAGCCACATTTAAGGTCCCTGTAAGGACCCTTATTCTTTTCAGAGCAGGGATCACATTACATACTAGGCTTTTGAAAAGCAACAACACCACTGCCAAAGAGTCTCTATCCTGAGAGACTTCTCACGTATCACATAGCCTTTTTGCTGTCAAATTCCATTGGAGTGCAAATAGTTCAGTCCCTGCTAGGGCTGATGTCACTGAACCGAGTGCATTTAGGATGCGCATCTCTGTATTCACTTCATTTGGAAACATGTATATATATATATATAGAAAAGAATGGATCAAAGGTGGTTTTCTTCCTAAATAATTTGGGTGTCTTTTCCCTCTGTTTTAGTTAAATATATGAGAGCAGTTTATAAATTAGTTGAGCTGGAGTTGCCAAACTTGGCTGTATATCTGAGCAGTCTGGATGGGAAGCCTTTGCAACTGATATTGTCCTCTAGCAGCTGATCATCAGAGCGTTTCCTTCCCCTACCCAAACCGGCAAAATGACCACATCCAGCAGGCAGAACTCTTCTACGTCTATGGTCAACAACTTGGCCAAAATATTCGATCCAAATGCTTTGCAAACCCAAGGGCCTGATAATGGAATGGAACCCCCCCAAATTCGTCGTGTTGCAAGCAGTGATGTCAGCACACCAGCAAGTTTTAACATCATGGATATGAAGTTTGCCTCCCTTGAACAGAAAATAGATAAGTTGTTGAATGTACAAGACAATGTCCTTAAGAAGCTTAACAGCGTTTCCCAAGAAATCTATTGCATTGAAAAAGATATTGGGATTGTAAAGGCAGAAACATCTGAACCTGGATCAAGGATGGAAAGAAACAAAAATGTGAGAAGTAATGAAATGAAGAGGCTTTGCCTTAAAATGGAAAAATCTCTTTCTAATATAAACAGGAATGCAGAGCAGCAGGTTAAAAGACTAGATGGACTGGAACAAAGTGTCTTTGGACTACAGAAGCTTGTAGGGCCTCTGGTTGAGAAGGTTAAAATGTTAGTAATTCGTAATTCCAGTGTAAAACACCATGTTCAAAAACGTAAACTTTGCAAGGCAGGTGATTATACAAAAGGAGCTGGACATCTTATTAGGATGCAGATTTTCTCAGAAACAACAGCTGATGCCCTGCTCAAGAAGAAAAGTGAAAAGGTGAGCCAAGGTTTGTGTTTCATCTTGTCAGGAATAGTTGCAACCTGCAGATATATTCTGCTATATGCTTAGCTTTTTTTCATTAACATTTAAGAGAGAACAACCGATATGCTCTAGAAATGAAAAGTAGTAGAAGAAACTGAGCAAGTTTCAGTGGAAAAGATATAGAAAATGTACTCACTGATAAATACCTTATTTTTTTTTCTAATGATTTCTTTAAAGTTGTAAAACATAACTAGAGGTCACTGACATAGGTGACAACGATTGACACAGACTTCAGGAGGCTTGGGTCCTGGCCATACATTTTAGTATGATCTTCTCTGTATTTATAATTATCTGGGGGAATCAAGTTGCAGCAGTCATGTCATATGCAGTGGGGTCTAGAGCTTAGTGAAACTGGTAAAAATCCTTCTTGGATCAGGGCATGTACATATGTATGTCCTTTATTCCAAAGAACAACTTAAGTGTGCTGTTCCGATCTGGTATTTCTGCTGACATTGGAGGGGATGGGGGGACTTCTAAATTGGGATCTGAGGTAGGGTTACCGTAACTGGAGCTGCGGCTTGTGTAAACTTCCTTGGGGGAAAAATGCCTGTGTCACCATAGTGGGAGTTTTGTTGAGTTCTTTACAAGTCAGATTAAAAGCCCACAAATATCTCTTGAAACGCTTCATTGATACAATAGGCTCTTGTAAGGTAGTTTGACTATTCGTTTGGTAAAGAAGCCCAGTAGCATTAGAAAATTATGGAATTTTTTCTGACAAAGTGTGTTGATATTTAATTAACTTACAGTGAACCAAAAAAGGTTGCCTTTCATATTATTTTATGGGTTTTTTTCCCCCTCAAAAAAGTCACGTACAGGCTTTACTTTTTGATGCATTTAAAGAGTAGTTATTGAGTTTGTTTTTCTAAAGTGTTTGAGCAGGAAAAACATTGTGTGAAGGTATTATTGGAAATGGCATTCCTTGAAAAAAAGAAACACCAAATATTACTCAGACTGGTCTGGTCAGCAAATCAGGTGTTTTTCAGCGTGGTTACTCTTAGGCAGTCCCCCTTCTCAGGTAGACAAGAAGCATTAGAGCCATCATAGGAAACTGTAAAAATAGCGATTAGTGCTGAGTAGCAGCAAAGGAGCATCTTGTAAAGCTCTGTCAGCTGAACTGGCTGATCTGCTGCTATGTAAGGATATAAAATGTGCAGCCCTGTTTCCAGAGCATCATTAACTGAAGGGAAAAGTTGCTGCCCTGCCAAGAGACTGACAACAAAAGTGGATTTTACAGACCCTCTTGAACATCAGGTTGGAGTGGTTTCAATAAAGGAGTTTAACAAAAGAGAAGTTTTCTTCTTTTGTACCATTACTTCGACGAGAAAAGATTGATAATTTTGAGGATCTGAGTTTAGGGCTCCTTTTACTTTTCAAAACATTAATGAAAACATCTGTTGTAAAAGCCCCGTCATAGTGAGACCCACAGGTCATCTCTGTAATGCTGCGATCACTGTATTTTGCAGTAAGAGCTCTACCTGTCTCAATGAAATTACAGAGTAATCTGAAGAATTTATAAATATAAATTGAATCAGGCCTGGGATGTTAATGAATTGGCCGCTCCTGGAGGCCCGGGGAGGTGTGAAGCTCTCTGTGCTAGAAATGCAGGGTAAGAGAAAGGAGGGGAGGCTTTGCTGGTGAGTTTGTGGGAGCCGGTGCATATAGTGGAAGGGCCAGGTCAGAGGAGGACGTTGTGCTGCTGGCTGGCCAGAGGGGATGGCAGAGAGGCAGGTGTCCAGTGGAGAGTTCAGAGCTATGAAGGGCCTGGAAGTGGAGGGTAGGGGGCTTGAACATGATAGAAGCAGAGGCAGTGTACTGACAAAGACCCAAAGATGAGACAGGCAAGCGGAGGCTCTGTCTTTTTCCAAGAGCAGCTCCATTTGTAATCCCTTCACTGATTCATTTGTGTTTAGGCAGACTCTCGGCAATGTTGAGTGGATGTGGTAGGAGCTAAGCATGAGGGCTTAGGAAAGGCGGCACGAGCACGTCTGGAATCATGCTGGTGATATTATTACATTGTTAATATTTTGTTTGTTTTATGAGATAGCATACGTATGTTGACTTGTCATTACCTTCCTCTCTGTGCATTTGATTTATTAGTAAAGGACCTTCATAAAATTATCAAGCTATCCTGTGAACAACAGCTGGCTTTAGTAAACACTTAGTCATCTTGGGTTTAAGTAAAAACAGACTTGAATTCAGCCCTGCATTCAGAATAATAGAGCATGGTATGATATCCTTCAGCAGGGACTGCTGAGCTTGGCTCTCAGTTTACTAGGAGCCAGTATTTACAGACATCCAGGCCAGACTCTCCTCTGCTGGGGGGCGGGGAGGAACAGCATCTCTGGCAAGTTAGTGAAAAGATGGGTCCATGAGACACTGTGAAGTTGGTTGCATGTGTCCCTGCCTGTCATATATTCAAACTGGATTTACAAGTGAGGTTTTAAATGGTTGTGACAAAAGGAAAAAGAAAAGCAAAGAAGTAGAGAAATAGGGGATCTCATGCTTGCAGAGTCCTACACCTGAAATGCACCATGGATACCTGGTGGCATAACAATGAACAAACCTACCTGATTATGCAAAACGAATCCTTGCTTCTGTTAACACAATCTTTATCACTATTTCTAGTCCCCACTTGATGTTAACTTTGAACAATGCTGAAGTGCTGGCTGCCAGGCAGTAAGACCAACATCTCTTTTATCCTAGATGGACTCCGTATGGAAACACTGAGCAACCCTGCAATCACCTTAGACATACACAGTACTATTCTGTTTCCTTATGGCTGTGGACAAGGTGATCCATTCACTACAGATAATTCGGAAGGACAAGAACCACTTTTGTGCAATGCTGGAGATGGTTAGATACTTGCCTATTTGCCATCCACACTGCCTCAGCTACAAGCAGATGCCACCTCTTAGTTCTAATGGCTGAGCTGTCTGACAAATACTTGGCTGTCCCCGGCCTGGTTGTGCAAAATAATCCAATCATTCTTAATTACTAGTAGGTGGTGCAATAGGTGGCCATGGATACATCTTGATAAGGCAGTGGATTGTGTTTGCATACTGCTTAATCACCTGCCTTCCCATCCATCCCTCTTTAAAGAGGTGCTGCTCTTTGCTTTATTAATTATAGGATTGTTTTTTAATTTTTCCTAGCTGGCTCATTTTACAGAACTGGATTAAGTAGAGAGCATTGGAAAAGACAGAACGATAGGGAGGGAAGAGTGGGAATGGGAGAGAGGTAAAGAGGGTGTGGTAAGCAGCTGGGGTGTGTAATCTCTCTTCTGGCTTCAGCAGCAGCTGGAACAGTTTCCAGATCACAGGCTCCACAGGGATGTTTTGTGCTCTGCAAAATACAGGGATCACTCTCCTCTGAAGCAAAATTTCTGCTTTCCTGCCTTTTACTGCCATCCTGAAATACCTCCACTGCCTCGTACAGGAGGTTAGTTTATTTCTGTTTTGGGTTGGAGTTACAATATTGTGTAACCTGCAGACACTTCATGCTTTGTCAGTGCTGCCAAATGTCTCCAAGCCGAGTGCAGCGTGACCCTATCACCACATGACTTAGAGGAGTAGCATGTATTACTTGTTGTTTTAAGTTATTTTCTCACTACTACTGCCCAGGGAAATCAGCAGTTCTACAGTAAGGGTCTTTAAAGGTCTTGAGGTTTTCCTCAAATTCACCTTTTTAGGTAGTCCATGATAATCCTGTTGCGAAATGACTTTGCAACTAATTTTCAGCCCTATTCCTTCTACTTATAAAGAAAGGGAGTAAAATAATGCCTCACTTATTACTCCAAATTAAACAGTTTAGAGATTCTAGCTATTAACCTGCAACTACTCACTTGGAAAGTCAGAAAGTCCCTTTTGTTGCCTTCGTTAAGCAGTGTTGAACTTTCTGCAGTTGCCTGCCGGTTGCTGTAACTTCAGTCTCCTGCCGTTTCTACAGGCTTTGCCATAGGACTAATAACTATCAGCAGTTTGAGGCTGTTTCTCACACTAAAAACACCCCAGCAGTGGGAGCTGTGCTTTCTGTTTGAACCCTCTGTCCCTCCTGTGCAGGTTTCACACTGCAACTCACTGGCTGCTTTAATAGGAGTCTGCAATGAAACTGCTGTTTGCCACGTGTGTTTTAAGATCCATTCAGCCTCACTCTATAACCGTGCTTCTGATTCCTTCATTTTGCCTACAAATACTAACGGGTCCCTTATGCGTTATTTAAATTCTCACCAGATTGGCCATATTGTGTAAATTTTTCATGTTCCAGCCAAATAGGCAGGATTTTTTTTTTAAATTTATTTTTTTTCCCCCCCCTCCCCATCAGTCTGCAAGAATTTCTGCTGTCCTCAGTGGTTTTGAGGGTAGAGAATCAGCAGGTGGGTTGTCCTCTGCCTGGGCAATGTAGCCAGTCAGCGCCTTCATCTGCCGTTACACTTGGGAATTCTCTTCCCCTCAGGACTGATGCCTTTACCTAAATATGTTCTTGGTAGAGGTATGCCAGTTTTTGAGTGAACTATAATATATTAGAGTTATAATTCTCTCTCTGACTTTCTCTATAAAACTGATATGTTTTCTCGAAACAAGACATTTTCATCTTGTTTTGACCCATTTTCTCCCTTACTGACAGCCATAGGAGGTTTTCCATGCCCTTCTGATTCAGAATGCTGTTTAATTTTGCTTTCATTTAGCCTCTGAAGTTGCTGTCTGCTCTACAGTGTTCCCTGGGTAGTATACTGTCCTGGGCACGGTTGTGGTTTTGCTCTCTACCACTCTGAGGAATGTGTGGAATCAAAGCAGGCACAGCTGTTTTCTAAATACTTGCATGCCACCTCAGATGGGTTATGGGCATGACATTAACACCGGCGTGTTATAGCGAATCTGTAACTATTCCTTTGCAAAACTACAGAAACCTCACAGTGAGATGAAGAGAGAACTTGAAAGTGCGGAAGACCAAGACAA